TGGGCGGCAGCCGCCCCGCCGCGGGCCACGTCGGTCGCCGGGGCCGGCGTGTGTTGTGACTGCAGAGAGAGGCCGAGAATGCGAAGTTGATGCAGGACTGAAAACCAAATAATTTGTGCCTGAGGCGCAAACGGTTTCTTTTTCATTTCGTGCCCGTCAGTTGGAACTAATTCTGCACAGAATTTCAAGTGAGCCCAAGTGGGATTATGTGTGCAATGCCCGCGGTCTCAAATGGGCAGTTTATTCAGGCCTCTGGACAGGATTTAGTGTGGGCTCTGATGTGTGCAGATTCCAGGGTTATCCTTCCTTTGATCGTGCTTTACCTATGGAAAAAAATCTCTGCAAACAATCTGTGTTTACCCATGAAAAATTAAAGCCGTTTTTTCTGCTTGAATAATACATTTGAGTACTTCCATATAGAGTGCTAGCCTTTTTAAAATATTTTATCTTGTTTCAATTTCCTCCTTTGCACCACTTTGAAACTGGCTGTGATGTTTAAAAGAAAAAAGATTTGAAGGAATCCTTTGGATGCTGAGGTTTGTGTGAGGAGAGGTGGCACGTAAAATAATTTAAAGCTGCTTCTTTGAATTGCCTTATACTTTCCACCCCATGTCTGGCATGAGTTACCTCACGAGGCTCTTTCTCAAAGCGTACAGAGACTGAACTTTACTCGATCTTTTTGCATACAGCAAATGAAAATGCTGCTTTGGTTCTTCCTGTGAAATGGAGTGTTGGGACACAGTGAGTTTTTGCAAAGCCATAGCTTGTTTGATCCAGTCTGGAGGGATAAGTGCAGGTTACTCAACAATCGCTCTTTTAATTTTTCATTTGTTTAAAAGCTGCAGTGTGCAGGCAGCATTACATAAGCCTGTGTGAAATTGTTGATAAGAAAAATTGTCCTGAATCTATTTAGTAGAGCTTGGGCTTCAGTCTTGAGCTTCTAGTGTGTGTTTTAAACAGGCCGTAGAGATGTGTGGTATTAGTTGTCTTATCCACAGGTAATTATTTCTGTGTTTTGTCTGATGTGCCATTAAAGAATAAGGATCTTGCTACAGCCTTTACTTCTTTTCTGTGGTCCATGAAATTCAGTAGTAAAACAATTCTCCCCATACTGATGAAGAAACGGCAAAAATAGTTTTACTCAAGCTTTTTATTCCTGCTTCATATATGCTACAATACTGAGTACTTCTTGCTCAAAGGCATTTTGGTAATCACTCTGGCTTATTCTAGCACTAGAGTTGTGTAGAGTCTGAAATTATTACACAACCTGATATGAGCAGATTATGAAAGAAGGGCTCTGGAGGGAAGATTCTGTTGACAAGTCATATATTTTCTTAATTAATAGGATTTAGTTACCAAGATGGTGTTGTAGTAATGTGCCTAAAAGAAAAAGGCAAATTACATACATTTTTAAAGCAGCTCTATATTATGAATGTGTTTTCCAAAACCTGGGTGAGACAGTGAGCTTTGCTTAAATTGCTCATATGCACTAAGAATGTCAAAAGATGTTTGAGTGCAAGTTAAATTTAAATAGGAGCTTGCAGTTAATAGAAAAATGTCATACTTGCATTGACTTTGTTAAGGAAATTTGGGTTTGTTAAAGGTGTAGTTTGTAAAACTCAAGGAAATATGTGCAATAAAAGCACTTCAAACAGAAGGACAAGTCGGACCTGCATACTTCTTTCAAGGAAGTAATTTCTGTAGACAGTGGCGTATATTGCAACACAAGTGGTTCTGTGGGGGATCTGACACACCAGTTCTTGCGGTCTGTACTTGTACTAACTCTTGTTAAGAAAGGACATCCCTTGTCTGGACAAGAGCTAAAAGATGAGGTAGTCTCCTCCTGAAGATTCTCAAACCTTTCACTTTGAGTGCTTTACCAGCAGTAGTGGAAAAATTCAGTGAACTGGAAAAAAAGGTTGTTCTTAGAATGCCTTAGGTGGGGAACAGTTTGGTTGAATTAGTTGTATGGATTGAACATACTTGCTTTTGGGCGTGGAAGAAGTTTTTCTCTTAGATAAATAGTGCAGACACTTTCATCAGAACTGGTAGAGGCTCTTTTGTAGCTCGTGATAAATTTCTGCAGTTTTGAAGCACTGCCTGGATTTCTAGAATTAGATGGTTAAATTCTTAAAAGTGGAAGTTGCAAGAGTTTCCTTAGAGGCAGTTAAGTTTCATAACGTGTGGTGTGATCACTTGTTGCAGATTTTCTCCTTCACTTTTTTTTTCAGCTTTTGCCTTTTGCTCAATGTCCCATTTTAACATTCCACCACCATTTCTTTGGTTGAAATGTGTAGATGGAGCTAATGTGAATTGATGCAGAGTAATTAAAAAACCCACCAAACTGTGTTGGAGTAGTTACTTTACTCTTGATTTGTGTGGATCCAGGACATCAGTGCTCTGATGTCCTTTGGTTTGGTTTCCTGCTGTATTTCAAAGCGAAGGCAGCTCCTCAGGAGAAGCTCTGTGGCAGACGTGTGTTGATGGGGTCTCAAAGCGGCTCTTCGTCAGTCAGGAGCAAAACGTGGAAGGTGGTGTGAGAAGAGTAGCAATGACTTGCTGTGGTTGTTTCCTCCCCTTGTGCAAGTACTGCAGTACACTTTGCTGGCTTAACAAGGCACTCTTTCAACAGAACTTAATAGAGAAGTATGCACTAACAGAAACCAGTAGATGTAGTTAAGATGGCTATATTTAAGGAAAATTGTGGAGTCGATTTTAGGATTATTTCTGGTATCTGATGTGCAGTTAATTTGGGGGTAATTTCTGTTAGTAGGAAGTCATTTAATTACCCTGCAGTTTTAACAAGATTTTTTTTCTTCCAGTTTTCAAGTAACTTATTAAATTTTTCTACCTTTTTTTTCCCCCGCACACTACCATTTTAGGTTGTTTAAAACTTTTTTTACCAAGACCAGGAGTTCATAGAAGTATGGTTAAGTATAAAGTTAATAAAATCAAAGGAATGAAAGCTTTAAACAAGCATGTAAGGCTTATTGATTAACTCAGATATGTAAGTATTTACTAATATGTTTGAACCATGATTTAAAGCTAATTTTTTGGTTCCCTGTGTGTGAGTACTTACTAAGGGATGGACACTAACCATAATTCATATTTTGCTAGTGTTTTGCATGTTTTTATTCTTGTATTACAGCGCTGTTGGGAATGGTGGGAGGGAAAGTTTATAACTACCAGCTGAGAACATTCTGATTAAAGTTCTAGTGAAAGTGTTGTCTAATCCTAACATGCATGGTAAATGTACATGTGGGAAATGAAATGTGACACTTTCATAGTCAATTTGTCCTGTTTTGCAAGTAGGGTAACACATTAAAGGTGAGAAATAAACATGGATTGAAGAGATAGTGACATGAGACTGCAAGTTATTTTCAAAGCTGGTGTGGATTTCTGCAGCCCTCACCTTCTTACTGTTCATCATTCACTTTCCTGTGCTTCAGTAGCAACCACCGATGTCAAGGATGATCCTGTTTACACCAGTAAAATCTGAAAAATGCTACTTTCCACACTCAGTAAAGGTTTTTAAGGAGCCTGCTTACCCCTTTTCATCTTTATCGCAGGTGAAAAGCCAAGGCTGATACAGTCAAATGGTCAAGTAGTGCCATCCCCTCAGGGTGCATAAGAACTACAGCCATCGTGATTTAAGTTATAGTAGTGTAGATAATTAAAAGTAATTGTGTGTCTTTATATTTCATTCGAAGTATAATGATACTTTATCTTGGAACAACTCAATATTTGCCACTTGGAAATAACCCTTTTCATGTAACTTTGTATTTGCTTGGTAGTACTATGTGGCATACTTGCTTTTGAAATGGGCCTGTGTATTTCTAAGGCAAGTTATAGTTGATGTATTCATTTTTTCTTCTGTTGAAAATTGTTGCAAAAGTCATCCCAGATAGTTCAATGGGAGAGACTATCCCAGAAACTTGTAAATGTTTGATAAACCGACTAATTCAGAATTTCAAACTGATATAGATGTAAATGTAGAAAATGTTGGTTCTTCTCTTAGCCAAAGATTAAGCAAATTAGTAGTTTACTGTGTGTATCTGGAGACAGTAAATTTCTGTGTCTTGTTTCAGTAATGCCCTCTCTAGAAATAAGAATTCTAGTTCTATCAGCTCTAACATGGTAGAATAAAATGGAACTTATGTTATACACTCCTAAATGTTCAGAACTTTCTACAAAAATTAATCTTGCATTACCAAACCCTGCCTGTGCAGCGGGGCCTGAACAAGTCATGATGCCACACTTTTAATTCCTTCACTCAGTGAGCGGCTCAAGCCCCGTGGAAAGCTGTCTTTGTTTCCTCTGCAGCAGTGTGAATTTCTGCTGTCTGATAAATCAGTAGACCATGATTTTGGGCACAGGGTCATCCTGCTTCCTGTGCTTCACAGTCACCGTTAGGGTGATGTTCCTTGGTGTGAGGAACAGAGCACTCTGAAAGATGAGTCCTTGAGCTGTCACTGGGGTCTATCGGTTAACATCCACTTCAACTAGATAAGAAGGCTCCCTTTGTCTCAAAGTACAACTAATTGGCATTGAGGTGATGGTAAATGGGATAGGTTATCAAAAACACTTAAATCTGCATATTTTGATGCTGAGGAGTAGGGGACTGGTAAAGTGATATTTTAAAGATACAGCTCTGAGCAAACAATAAGTGGTAACCTTGGGTTTGTCTTGACTTGTAGCCACCCTACATCATGTTGCAGTGCAGCAGAGATTATGTCTGTGCTGTTTTTCCATACAATGAGGTACAAAGTGCAAGATCCCAGAAACGCCAGCAACGACCGGTTTGTTCTGTCAAAGGTAAAATCATAACTGTTATGCTCTGTAAAGAGCTGTCTGTCTGTAAATTAAATTCATTTGTTTTCCTTGATTTATGTGTACCTGTGCTTGCATCTACAGAGAAATCTATGGAGATATTTGAGAGCTTGGAATTTGTATACTTCAGAAAGACAAATAAAAACTGGTTAAGTTTTAGCATAACTCAAAAATAATTTTGAAGTGTCTGTATAATGTGTCTGTGGTTCAGAAAACATGCAAAACCACAATTTGGACTGGCTGTTAGGTTTTCTATTGGCTTTTGCATTGTGCCCTTGCAAATCACAGGAACATTTCAATCATAAAGGCAGTTGGGGGCCTTCAGAAAACCTCACTGTGTAAAACATGGCAGAGGAAGTACTCCAGTGAGGCAGGTTCCGTCTTTGAGTCAGAATTCCTCACATGGTGGCTTACAGTGGTGCTGCACAGCTGATGGTGTATGTACGTGCACTGGATATAACTGTTGCCATCTCTGATTGCCATTCCAAAGTAAGTAATAGGATGAGAAGCAAGTGGCTGATGCTGAGGTGGTAAAGCAAAAGGAGTCGCTTCTTCATGTGTGCTTTATCTCTCTCTGATTAATCAGGGTTTCTGCCCAGAGTTGTTAAATGGCTTCAAACCTTTGCATGCTTTTTTGACTCCTAATGACTCAATGGGTGGAAGATGACTACTGCTTTGCAGTTGTCCGGTTGGATCTGGCCGCAAGGATCTGAGCGTATGAAGCTTAAAATCTTGCCTGTTGTCACTCACTGCATCTTGCCTTGAATACATATGTATTGAAGAAGTTCTAAATACTGCTTATTGGCTTAGTGAACAGTGCTCTGTTCTTGAAACTGGTATCTAAGCAAATTAAATCAAGGTTTTTTTATTTGGACACCAAAGCTGCTTTTTGGAATTGGACTTGCATGGCTGAGAGAGACCTTCTTACTCTTCCATGTTGACTGTCTCAATGACATCTTAAGCAGCCCTTGAGAGTGCTGCATCCCCTCTGTTTTAACTGTAGTCCGCTGTCTGGGGAGATCTAAGCAGGGGCATGGGGGTCTTGGAAACAAGCATCAGTGTGAGTGTTGCATTGTAAAGTGTTTGATAACTCGATCCCTTTTTAGTGGACATAAAAACCTGATTCTAGGGTTTGTGAGCTTTGTAGAATTTTGCCTTGATACTAGGACATTGTGAAACTTGTGCTTGGATTAAAAAATTATGTTTCTCTCTAGGGCCATGCAGCACCAATTTTATATTCTGTTTGGGCAGAGGCTGGCTTTCTACAGGAAGCAGAATTACTGAATCTGAGGAAAATTGATTCTGTCTTAGAAGGACACCCAGTACCAGTGAGTGCTCATAACCTTCAATATAAGATGGTGTTTTCTGTAAAACAAGAAGTCTATGTATTTTGCAGCAATTCTTGGTTGACAGCTACGGTATGGGGAAAGATAAAGACTTGTAACAAGGATGATGATATTTATGGCTTCACAACTGAATCAGCACCTGCATTTGAATGAGCATGCAAATATGACCTTTATTGTTGTACTAGAATTCCCCTACAGTCCTGTATGTCAATATTTACAATTTTAAAAAGGTTTATATAAAGTTCCAGCACAGCTTTTCTCATCCTTTAAGAAGGTATTTCAAGAGTTTATGTCCTGTTTGGTCACCTTATTGGTCTTTCTATGCCCAGCCAGTTCTTTAAATTGATTCTTTTTAACATAAAATCATCAATTCTCAACTGCTGCCATAGCTGAGAAATTCCTGGGCTTAAGCACCATTCCCTCTTACAGAGCCCAGTTATCTCGTGACACTGATCATCAAGGTACATGCATCAGAGGGAAAGAAGGGGAACAGGGCCAGATTTGGAGGGACTGGCTCTGTATTGTTATGTCTGAGAAGCTGAATTTTGACGACTGTTCAGCCATCTTCTAGCACTGGAATTTGGATACTCTGTTTCTTAACTGTAAAATAATTTTTGATTTATTCTTTTTTATTCTCAGAGACAAGCATTCACTGATGTGGCTACTGGATCCCTTGGTCAGGGTCTTGGTGCTGCATGTGGAATGGCATACACTGGCAAGTTCTTTGACAGAGCCAGGTAATTCCATCTTTGTTTCATGATTATAGGCATTCAATGGAAATATTTTGTAAAAAGAAATTCTATTCTTAATCAAGGAAAACCCCCCTCCTTTATTCTATTCTTTATTCCCAAATCTAGTTTCAAATTCAGGTTTTAAATGATGGATTACTAGCCTGGTAATTACAAAGCCATTGCCAGTGAAACTACCAAGGATTTAAAGATTAGCAAGAATTAGTGCATACATGTTTTCTGTTTGTAACCTGACAGCATTGCAAGGTGATGTTCCTGAACAGAGGAGACAATAAGTTGTTGCAGCAGCCTCTAGCTTCCAGAGAGTAATTGATAGCCATTTTGAGATACTAGTATATGTCCCCTTAGAAGGAAAATGCAAACTAGAGATGTGTCTGTTCAAAGTCAGATGACAAATAATAATGGCGAACGTTTATCTAGATAAGAAAATGTTATGGTCAATAATAGCACCATCGAATCATGAAGTAGGGCTTTGAAATGTTATCAGAAAGGCGCTCGACTGCATAGAGAAAAAATGACTGTTTCTGCCATTTGTTTTGTGCACAGGAAAAGTAGATGTCTAAGGGCAAATCTGTATGAGGAGGAAAATAGCCTGATGTAGTTGATTTATTTTATGTGACAGTTCTAGTACATTTGAGCATGGGCTGCCCAGTTAATGTGTCCTACACTTCAGTAGCTTGAAATAATTTCTGTGAAAGATGACTTGCTGATTTTAATTGAGTTTAGCAGATGCTACGTGTGGAAAAAATCTAGCCAAAGCTTACGTGACAGAAGAAAAAGGTGGTCTTGCATGCAGTGCTGGGAGCAGCTTATGTGGAAGGAGTTCAGACTTAGCTGAAGGCAGGTGGGATTCAGACCAAGAGTCTGCTACAGCTTAATGTCTAGTGAAAAAAAAGCTATCAGCCATCTTGATTATTTTGTTTTTAAATTCTACATTTGAAGGCTAATATACTGTTCTTTTTGAATTTTAATAGGTAATAAACATCTCTAAAGCTCTGTTATTCAAAGAAAGATAGTAGTAATAAAAGTAAAATAGTGGCTGAATCCCGCCGAGATCGGGCAGCACTCCTGCTGAGTTTTACCGAAATAAAAGCTTCAATGTTTAGAGAAGTAGTCTACAAAATTATATCATGTTGGTTATATTAATTCTGAATTTGGTTATGCAACGTGCTTTAATCCGTAGTTGAGTTCATCCCCAATTTATGGTTTCCTTAAATTAAATTATTGGTCATCCTTCCATGGCGTATACGGTAGGAATGAGGAAGCAGGCAGTAACCTTTCATGCATTGTTAGGGATCTTGCTGAGTCACAGTGACAGTGTTTAATGGGCCTGTTCGTTCAAGCTTTGCCATTGGAGGCTTAAGACCTGATTTTTTTGAGACAAAGGTTTGAAAAGGAGCAGAATAGTTCTCATCTTATTTTCTTTATGTGTAACAGCTCAAAAGGATTTTAATGTAATTTATCTAAGGTTATGTAAGGTTATCTGAGGTGAAAGCATTGAGCAATGGGAGTTGAGCTTGGGATAGAAAAAGCAGTGAATTCTTACTATGAATTGCTGGAGGGATTTTGCTTTTAATTCAGCTGTGCTTATGCATCAAAATAATTTTTTTTCCTAATTTCTTCTTCTAGCTATCGAGTGTATTGTCTGCTTGGAGATGGAGAGTTATCTGAAGGCTCCGTTTGGGAGGCAATGGCCTTTGCTGGGTTTTACAAGCTCGATAATCTTGTTGCTATATTTGATGTTAACCGTCTCGGACAAAGTGACCCTGCTCCTCTGCAGCATCACGTTGAAATTTACCAGAAACGCTGTGAAGCCTTTGGGTATGTGATTGGAAAGAGTTCATTATAATCTTCCCTTTGAAACTGTATGTTTTATTTGCTTTTCAGAATTTTTTAAATGAGCTTTTAGCTCTTAAAGGATATCATCACCAAGAAAGATGGTCTTTTGTGATACCTGATACTGATTGTCTTTATTTGTA